AAGAAACTGAAATGATCATCACCTATTTCCCTCAAAACAAATCATGCCTAGATGTTTTCATATGTGAATCACAAGCTTATACTAAACAATTCCCTTATTATACAAATTGTTTCAAAGACTAGAAAGAGATAATATTTCCAAATTCTGTAAATGAACCCATATAATCTACATTATTAAAAAATTGGTATGTAAAAAATATGATCAAGTTAATCACTCATGTAAAGCAAAAATTTAAAATAAAATTGAGCTATTTGAATCTAAGAGTTTTTTTAATGCATTATAATATTAATTGTTCATAGCACATAATCAAAAGTTAAATATAAAAACAATTCTAATTAAAACATAAATAAATTTTTTAAATGTTTTAATCATGAGACCATAATGGTACTCAAAAAGGAAAGAGGGAAAGAAAAAATCTTCTTTACAGTAGAATGTCAGCTAAAAATTGAAAAAGACTGATAAGATTTTGCAACCTTCAGTGTAATTATTGATTCAGATATGAATGACTATTGGTTGCTAAAACTCATTAAGGAAAGGTTTGTTGGGAAGAGGCAAGACAGTCACATAGTATCAAAGTATCACCTTAAAGAGCAGTTACAAATTCAAAATAAAATCTGCATCTAGACCCTGGAGAAATCTGGTGGTCACCACTTTAATAAAGTGTTAATATTTTTAATATAATGATGGAGACAATCTGAATTGTGTACCTTCTCACATAATGCAGTATAAAGTCCTCAATCTCATGCATGAAGTATTCTTGCCAAAAATGGTTTATCTGAGTCTAATCAAGCTTCCATGCTTAATTTCTAGTTTACAGAAAATATAGAAAATTAGTCAAAGAACACTATAAGGAGACAAACAAACCAGAACATGGCATACTGTACAAGAAAACTGACCTTTTCTCTTCAAAAAGTCAGTGTCATTAAAAGCAAACAAAAAGAAACATGAGATCTTTTTTCATTAAAAGGAACTAAAAAGATATAACAATCAAATAGAATGCCTAAGACTCTATTCAGGCCTAGATTTTTAAAAGAAAACTACAGAACATATTTTGAGGACAATTAAGCATATTTGAATATGAACTAGATATTAGATTCTATTATGGAATGGCTGTTTATTTCTTAGGTTTCATAATGATAGCATGATTATGGAGAAGAATGTCCTTATACTTAGAAGATGTATTGAGGGGCCAAGAATGTGTCTGCTTACTCTGTCTGGCAGGGTACCAACCAACAACAAACAGAAAATGAGGTTAATCAAATATGGCCAAAATGTTAACAAATGGTAAATTATTTCTGTTCTTTCAACTTTTCTTTGGTGCAAATTTCTTCAAATAAAACATACAAAATATAATAACAAAATGAACCATGATAAGCTAGCAGTGTAAAAAAATACAAGTGTGTTTCAACATTTGAAATTGATCAGTTTGGGGTTTTTGTTTTGCTTTTATCACACTAAGGGGAAAAAGCAATTTCTTTCAGTAATGCTTTACAGTTTTTGTGTACAAGTCTTATGCCTTCCTAGTTTATTCTTTAGTATTTTATGTCATTTTTGATGCTATGGTAAATTGAATCATTTTAATTTCCTTTTCAGATCATTAATGCTAGTATAAAGCAATACAACTGACTTTACTATGTGTTGAGTCTTACCCTCTACCAATCTAATTAGCTCTGATAGTTTTTGGTGGATGATTTAGAGTTTTCTATATGTAATATCATGTTACGTGTGTATAGACATAAATTCATTTCTGCCTTTCCAAGTAAGATAATGTTTTCGTTTTTCTTGCCTAACTTCTCTGGTTAGAATTTCCAGCACCATGTTGAACAGGAGTGGTAAAAAATGGGCTTTCTTGCCTTGTTCCTGATTTTAGGAGGAAAACTTTCAGCTTTTCACCCCTGAGTATGAGGTTAGCTGTGGGCTCTTCATATGTGACCTTTACCACATTGAGGAAGTTTCATTCTAATCTTTGATGTTTTCATCATGAAATAGTGTTTTGCGCATGTGAAGCCACTTCAGTCTTGTCAGACTCTTTGCTATCCTATTGACTGCAGCCTGCCAGCCAGGTTTCTCTGTCCACGGGATTCTCTAGGCAAGAATACTGGAGTGGGTTGCCATGTGCTCCTCCAGGGAATCTTCCTAAATTTTGCTAAATGTTTTTCCTGCATCAGATGAGATGTGTTTTTTTCTTCCTTCATTCTATTAATGGGTATATTATATTGATACTTCTCCAAAGAAGACACATAGATGGCTAAAAGGCACATGAAAAGATGGTCAACATCACAAATTATTAGAGAAATATCAATCAAAACTACAATGGGGTAACACCTCACAGTGGTCAGAATGCCCATCATCAAAGTCTATAAACAGGGAATTCCCTAGGGGTCCAGTAGTTAGAACTCAGTGAGTTCACTGCTGGGTGCCTAAGTTCAATTCCTAGTGAGAGAACTAAGACCCTGCAAGGCCAGCAGCCCAGTGAGGAAAAAAGTCTACAAATAATAAATGCTGGAGACAGTGTGGAGAAAAGGGAACACTTTTACATCACTGGTGGAAATGTAAACTGGTACAACCACCATGGAGAACAGTATGCAGGTTGCTTAGAAAACTAAAGACAGAGTTGGCATATGGTCCAGCAATCCAATTCTGGGCATATACCCAGAAAAGACAAAAACTAGTTGGAAAAAATACATACACCCCAATGTTCATAGTAGCACTATTTACAATAGCCAAGATGTGAAAGCAATCCAAATGTCCATCAACAGATGAATAGATAAAGAAAATGTGGTGTGTGTGCATTGGAATACACACCAATGGAATATTACTCAGCAATAAAAAATAATGAAATAATGCCGTTTGCAGCAACATAGATGAATCTAGAGATTATCATACTAAATGAAATATATCACATAAAGGCAAATATTATATCACTCATATGTGGAATCTAAAAAAAAAAATGACACAAATGAACTTATTTACAAAACAGAAATAGAGTCACAGAAGTAGAAAACAAATTTAAGGTTCCTAAAGAGGAAGAGGGAGGAGGAATAAACTGAGAATTTTGGATTAATAAGTACACACTACTATATATAAAACAGACAAACAAAGGCCTACTGTACAGCACAAGGAATATTTTATATCTTATAATAACATATAATGGAAAATAATCTGAAAAAGTATACCTATGTATATGTGTATGTTTATGTATACCTGGGCTTCCCCGTGGCTCAGTGGTAAAAGAACCCACCTGCCAAGCAGGAGACCTGGGTTCAATCCCTGAGTTGGGAAGATTCCCTGGAGAAGGAAATGGCAACCCACTCCAGTATTCTTGCCTGGAAAATCCCATGGACAGAGCAGCCTGGTGGACTCTAGTTCCTGGGGTCACAAAAGAGTTGGACATGACTTAGCAACTAAACAACAACAAATCTGTATACCTATAACTGAACCACTTTGCTACATACCTGAAATATTATACACCAACTATACTTAAAAAAAATAAAGTAGGACCTTCTGCAAAACAGCTGACTAGACTCCTCAAAAAACACTGTCATTGGGAATTTACTGGCAATACAGTGGTTGGGACCCCACACTTTCACTGCTCCTGAGCAGTTCAATCCCTGGTAGGGGAACAAAGATTCTGCAAGTCACATAGTGAGGCCCCCCACCCCAAAAGAATATAATGAAAATAATGGGGAAATTGATTCTGAAAAAGATTTAGTAACAATATAATGTGTAAACATTGGCTGGATTTTGCCTAGAAACATTTTGAACAAATTTCAAGATGAAATACTCTGGTTACTAGATATTATGGCATCAGGATGATAATGGTATTATGCTCATTTAATGATTATCTTTTTCTTAAGAATTACATGCAGACTTTCTTGGTAAAATATCATGATTTCTACAATGTTTAAATAATTTAGTAAAAATTTGTATATGCTAAAATAATACATACAAAATATAGAAAAATATTAACACATTAAATTTAGGTGGAGGGAATATAGGTATTCACCATATTGCTTTTTCAATTCTATGTATTCTAATGTTTTCATAATGAAGTGAAGTGAAATTCAATCAGTTGTGTCCAACTCTTTGAGACCCCATGGACAATACAGTCCATGGAATTCTCCAGGCCAGAATACTGGAGTGGGTAGCCTTTCCCTTCTCCAGGGGATCTTCTGAACCCAGGGACTGAACCAAGGTCCCCCGCATTGCAGGCGGATCCCTTACCAGCTGAGTCACAATGGAAGCCCAAGGATACTGGAGTGGGTAGCCTATCCCTTCTCCAGCGGATCTTCCCGGCCCAGGAATAGAACTGCGGTCTCCTGCATTGCAGGCAGATTCTTTACCAACTGAGCTATAAGGGATGGAAAGGGAGATAATTAGGAATATACTATTCACTGTTTCATATACAGTTTCATAATGAAGGTCTGGAGAAGAAAGGGGAAATCTATTTCTCTCCCCTTAATGTATCACAGCCTTGTCCTGGCAAAGGGGCTTGCCCCATAAATGACTACTGGAAAAACAAAAGCAAAGAGATCATTTTGCGGACAAAGGTCTGTACAGACAAAGCTATGGTTTTTCCAGTAGTTATGTAGGATGCAAGAGGTGGACCATAAAGAAGGTTGGGCTGAGTGCATAATTGATGCTTTCAAATTGTGGTGCTGGAAAAAACTCTTGCGAGTCCCTTGGACTGGAACGAGAATCAAACCAGTCAATCCTAAAGGAAATCAACTCTGACTATTCATTGGAAGAACTGATACAGAAGCTGACGCCCGGATACTTTCTTTGGCCACCTGATTTGAAGAGCCAACTCATTGGAAAAAACCCTGATGCTGGGAAAGGTTGAAGGCAAAAGGAGAAGAGGACAGCAGAGGATGAGATGGTTAGATAGCATCACGGACTCAAATGGACATGAATTTGAGCAAACTCCTGAACATAGTGAAGGGCAGGGAAGCCTGGCAGGCTTCAGTCCATGGGGTCACAAAGAGCGGGACATGACTTACCAACTGGACAACATGACTTCTCTTCAGGAAATATGCAAGTAAGAAAAAGAGCGAAGTGATATTTAAAGTACCTAAAAAAAAAAAAAATAGAATTTTGTGTTTGGCAAAATCATCCTTCAAAGGTGAAGGAGAAATACTTTCTCAGACAAAAACGGAGGGACTTCCTCACCAGTAGATCTGTCTCCAAAGAACAGTTAGAAAATTTTCAGAGGAGGGTGCGGAAAGAGTGGAAAGGCAGAAAAAAGTTTTCCGAAGGGTGGTGGCAAGAGGCTGCCATCACGGGACCTTGCCAAGTCCTGACGTCGCTCTTTCCCCGTCGCGAAGGCCACTAGCTGCCGCGCAACCCAGGAACCGCGCAGGCCCCGTCGGCGTGTGCTTCCGGGTTAATTCCGGCGGAACTGCAATACGAGACGCGCGGGTGCCGGGAAGGTGGCTCACGCCTCCGGACCAAAGAGAGAGCGGACGCCTGCGCCCTCTCTGCTGGGGCCCCGCCCACTGACACATTTCAGGAGCAAGCCCCGCCCAGCCAGGGAACTTTTGAAGGTGCTGAAAGAGCAACGTCTCCCAGAACGGGAGCTCTGAGGGGATGCTTGGGGCTTGGGAGACTCTATAAAGGTCCCTAATCCAACTGGGGTTTCAGGGAGGATCGGAAGCTGAGTACTGAAAGAGTTATCTAGGCAAAGAGGAATGGGAAGAGCCTTCTGGGCAGAAATTGACGGAGAAAGGTAGAAAAAAATTGGGGCTACACTTGTAGGCGGAGGCGGGTTTATAGTGAAGCTAATGAAGCTGAAGTTTCAGAACCTGTCACTTGCACACTTTCAAGGCTCGGTACCTAAGTTTTGCATTATTTTTCTCAAAGAGGAACTCTCGAATTGTGTAAGGTTTAGACCTCCCAAAACGACTCCGCGTAGGGAGCCAGTGGAAAAGAGGAACACGATCAGATAATTGTTTATAAGAATGATCATCTGATAGGCGATAATCGGAGTAGGTAGGAGTAAGGTGGGGAGGTCAGATGAGAAAAGACAGTGGTCTGGATACTGCGGTGGCAGTGAAAAAGGAGAGAAGAGGATGGATTCCACATACAGTTGAGAGAGAACTGCAGGACTTGTTGACTTACTGACCCTATTTATAAATAAAACGGTACCTACTATGCCAGCAGTTAAGAGCTGTCATCTTATCCTGCTTTTATTCTTTTGACTTCTTACCACCTGATAGGTATTTTATTTTCTTATAGTCTAAGTAATTTTCAAAAGGTTGAAAACAAATGTCTCAAAAAAGTATAAAATGAACACATGACAAAGAGTTTACTTATCATAATAAATTATTCATCTATTATTATCTTAAATGATGAGGGAACCAGTAATATGGTAGGTAAGAGTTGTTCAAATGAGAATTTGTATCAGGGATTTTAGATTATCAGCCAAAGGGAAGCTGAAATAAATTTGCTAATAGTTACAAAAACATCAATATCCTATTAAGCAATAAACTGTAATGTCAGGAGCTATTTCTACTACCAGATGGAAATAACTCCATCTCTAGTAACAAAATCCATTTGTGTTACTGGGGATAGGAATTATTTATGTTGCTCTCAGACAAGAATTATTTGCATTTCTATCAGTTTTCTGCCCACTTGGCCTCTACTCCTACAAAGTTCTAAGACAGCTTATTCAACATAAGGTCAATATACCCCAGGTGAAGAAGGAAATGGCAAACCACTCGAGTATTCTTGCCTGGAAAATTCCATGGACAGAGGAGCCTGGCATGCTACAGTCCATGGGGTTGCAAAGAGTAGGCCATGACTGAGCTCGCGCGCATACCCCAGCACTGCAATGAAAGACACTGAGTAATCTTTTTCTGCCCATTTATAAGTTCTGGGCAATGTTTTCTGGACACCTATATAATCACTAGACTGTAAGATTTAAAAGAGCAAGGATTTTGTTTAACTCATTGCTGAGTTATCAGCACCTAGAACAATACACGGTCCGCAGTTGGCTTGCAATAAATATATATTGAATTAGTGAGTGGAAGATGAGCAAGTAAGAATGTGAGTGTGAACAATGTCTGGTACAAGGACCTAGCAGTTGTAATGTGGAGGGAGGTACATGCATAGAGACAGGCCTTTTTTTTAAAAAAAAAAGCTCATAGATGTTTAAAGCCAGATAAGGATCCAATGAAGAGAGACACTGAATACACTGGCGAGGAGGTGTTCCAGACACAACTGTTTTCAAAGGTTTACACCAAATAAGAATGTCAGGATTAGAGCCACAATCTCCCTGGACCTCTTCTCACTCCAAGCCTCTAAAAATTGAGGGAAGAGAGAGACGGTTGGACTAGCTCAAGGATTCTCACCAATTTGGTCTTGTAGCTCCTTTGCACTCTTAAAATTGAGAATTATTGAGATTTTGCTTGTCTATCAATAGTTGCCAGATGAGACATTAAAACAGAGAAATTTTTCTATTACCACAAATGGTATGTGGTTATCTAACTGCTCAGATGATATTGACAGTACTGTGTGTGACTATGCTACTCAAGTAACATGGTAAGTTACTCATACTACGATGGAACATCACCATGACAAAAGACTTTTTGGACTGGCTTGATGGTGGAATGGCACCCCCTCATCCTTGAATTGTCCTCGATAAACAGATTGGGCCTGAACAATGAGACATCTAAAAACTTGCTGCAAACACCAAAGAACTTGGGACTTGGACCGAACATTTCACAAGGACCAGTTGTAGTCATAGTAATTATTTCTTTTCACTATAATCAATCATATTTCAAACAAGCTTGTGTTCCCTTTCCTTTTGTTGTAGCTATAGGAAACTTACAATTCAATAAAATTTTACTTTCTGTAACTTGTATAAATTCCAAATTATATACCTGTCTTAACTCTTCTTTCCTTAAAAAACAAATCCCTTTTGATTCTTTGATTTCTATGTAATTTGTGGTTACCAGTAAATCTCCAACGGCCCTGGAAAGAGGGCCCCATGGCTGGACTCACTTCCCGGTTACTTACTAAATTACTCTGACAATCTAAACAATTCATTGGATGGCTGATTCTTGGCATTTTGGGATTAATAGCTATTTGCACCACTGCTGCTGTCGCCGGCATTGCTTTACAAGCTTCAATTCAAACACATAATTTTATCCAAAATTGGACTAAAGATGCTCATACTAGGTGGGCCACTCAGGCTCAGATAGATGAGAAAATTCAAGATGAAATACAGGAACTAAAAACAGCCATCAAGTGGGTCGGAGATCAATTAATAGATTTACAAAAACAAGTGATACTAAAATGTGATTGGAGGCCTACTCGATTTTGTGTTACTCCTGTTCAATTCAATCATAGTGCCTACAACTGGGAACAGATCAAATTTCATTTACAAAACATACATGATAATGCCTCTCTGAATGTACAATTATTACAAAAAGTAATCTTTGAAACCTTTTCTAAAAAGTCTACCCTCTTTCACTAATTCGAAAACTTTAGCTAAACAACTAGCTGATCAATTATCTGGGCTAGACCCTTGAAGATGGTTACAAAACATTATACATCGTATTAGATCTAAAATTATAACACTAATAATTGCCCTAGTGGTTATACGCATATTATATCAATGCCTTTCAACTAAAATTGTTCAAGCTAAACAAACTCATTTGGTCAGGACCTTTTCCACTAAAGTATCTACAGTCACCCCCAATTATGAAAAAATTAAAAAGGGGGAATTGTCAGGGGACGTTCAACTTTAAGGAATCCAGTGTGTTGCACTTTTCTTCCTTTGTGTGCCATTTCTCAAGCATTATTTGTTCCTTATCAGTTCCTATTCCGGGAACGAGTAGAGCTGCACACAGTTCTCAGGACTGAGATCATGGGAAAGGGTACCTGCTTGGATTCTTTTCAGTAGCTCCCTTCAATGACTCTTTTCAGCATCAGCGACCTTGTATGTTTTAGACTATCCATTTTGTTGCAATTGATGGGATTTCATCCTTTGTAATGGCCGAGTAATCATTTTACTAAAGATATATAAGCCTGCACTTCCGCTAATAAAATACCCTTGTTTCACTAGAGACTTGGGTCCCCATTCTTTCTTTCTCTTTCTCTCTCTCTGGCTAATTCTCTGGAGCATAAAAACCTGCTGAGCTCACTTTCCTGCTCAGGCTTTCAAGACCTCTTTGAGAGGACGCCCTGTGCCTCTGTGAGTGGTACAAGCCCTGTCCTAGGTCTCTATTGGTCCTCTGCATAACCCAGGAAATACTAGCCTCTGTCTCTCTTTTGCTTTCTTATTGTCGACTCCGGACCACCAGGTTCCGGTCCATTAAAGGACCACAACAGTGCTCTACATCCTAGCAGGTCATGCAGAGAAAGGGTGGTTGCCCACAGACTCCCCCACCTGCCTCAGTGGGATCAGAGGGCCAAAGCCAGGAGACTAGAAACTTGTAACCAGGGAGAGGGTGTCACAAGGAGAAGGATGTTGGTGCGCTGGGGTCTCCATCTCTTCAGGGAGAAGGGGCAGGCAGAGCTTTCCCCATGCTGAGCCCAGGGAGAGGTGCTTCAGAGTTACTCCAAGACCCTGATATGCATTTCCCAGAGCTGGGGTCTCTGCAGGCCAGAGTCTGCTTCTGAATCAAGTCTGCAGGTGGAGGGCTGGGGTCCTGGAGGGCCTTCTCTGGGAGGCACCATCCTCCTATTCACCAACAGTCCCCAGAGGTACACGTGTTCTGGGTGATGTCTGTGTTGTGGATGCTGGGTGATATATTTTTTTTCTAATTAATAGAATTCTCTGTATTTAACTATTCCATTTTAAGACAAAATTCAGAAGACAAAACCAAAATGAAAGCCATCTTCTCTGCTTGCTGCTTTCTATGCTTTGTGGTATCAAATACTTAGTCAATCTCTACTTCTGTAGGCCCAACTGTACTAATGTGTATTGGTTTACCTCATCCTCTTACTGCTGCTTTTAATTGAAATTATTCAGGACTTTTTCTTTTTTATAGCTATTTCCTATACTTTACTCCCATATAAATGACTGGAGACTTAAAAAAGAATTCTGGGGTTCAGAAATTAACAACCTCACTTTCCTCAGCAAGTGGACAGCCTATTTACACCAGGGCTAGAGCCACTCACTGTCTCCTTTGCAGCCAGTGAAGCGCCAGCTTCTGCTCCATGTGGTTCTTTTGAAAATCTGGCATGATGGTTGGCTGACAAAGAGTCTACAGCCTTGGGAAGCTGTGAACCTCGAAAGCTCTTTGTAATCAACCCACCATGGAAGCCCACTGCAGAGCTGTAGGAGGTCTGATGATAACTGGGGCACAAACTGCCCCTCCTTTCCTCCCAAGTAGCTCTCTCTGGATCTGCTGGACAGCTCTGT